GTAGGCCAGTAATATCCGGCTCGGAGTACGCGTGCTCTGAGCGTTCGTTTACCTGAGTGTAATCCGCATACACCTGTGTGCAGCTCGTGCAAGACGTAGTCGGCTTCTTCCTCTGATATGCACTTCAATAGAGGAGCACTGTGGCCGTGACGGTATAAGTCGTCGCCGATGCACGAGAAACGTGCAATTCGCTTTGAATCGGCCAAACTAATGCTCTCTCCCTGTTCCTGCCGCACCATTAGATCTCTGATCTTCTGGCGCCAGTTTGTGGCAGGAGTCGACACCTCGGTGACTAAGGCTTCCACGACAGGATGGTCGAGCGTCATCTTGATGATTGACGACAGCTGTGCTCTCTCCTTAGAGTGAGTTAACTTCGACAGGAGATCTGCTCTCGTGTTTTGCTCCCTGGGGACATGGACGATGTTGACTTCGGAGAAATTCTGAAGTAGAGTCTGAGTTTTGTGGAAATAGCGCAGTAACTGATTATCTTTAACCTGATAAGTTCCGTTCACGTGTCCGACCACCAACTTTGAATCCATCCGACATTCTAGACGAGTGATCGCGAAGTCTTTGGCTAAGGATAGACCGGCAATCAAGGCTTCGTACTCGGCCTGGTTGTTGCTAGCAGAAAAGTTGAATGTGATGGCTTGTTCGACAAGGAAACCATGCGGGCCTTCTAGAACAACCCCGGCTCCCCCCCCCCTTTTTATCAGAGGATCCATCGACACTGAGGAGCCATTTTGGTGTAGAGTCGTCGGGTGTGGGTATTAAGTCAGCTGCAAAATCCGCTAAATGCTGATCTTTGACGGAACCCCTCGGCTTATAACGTAAACCGAACTCGGAAAGCTCTATGGACCAAGAAACCATCCTTCCTGCTAAGTCGGGCTTGCGGAGTATCTTGGCGATCGGGTGATCGGTACGGACTACCACTTGGTGGCTCTGAAAATAAGGTCGGAGTCGACGTGAAGCTGTGAGTAGAGCTAATGCGATTTTCTCAATGCGAGAATATCTTTCTTCTGCCCCCTGTAGCGTACGGCTGATAAAGTATATTAACTTGAGGGACGGTGCCTCTTGTATTAGGGCAGCGCTGACAGCGGAGTGGGATGCTGCGATATACAGTTGTAAGTCGGACCCAGTGTCCGGTCTAGCCATAATTGGAGGACTAGTGAGAATACGTTTGACAGTTTTGAATGCTGTTTCACATTCATCATCCCAGTGTCGGGTAGTGCCCTTCTTCATGTTCTTCAGGATGGGTTTGATGTGTTCGGCTAGCTTCGGAATGAAGCGAGAGAGGGCCGTGAGCCTACCAACCAACCATTGTACCTCCCTGAGAGTTGTTGGGACGGTCATGTCGAGTACAGCTTTGCATTTATCTGGTTTGGCTTCGATGCCTTGACGAGTAAGCATGAAACCCAAAAACTTGCCTGCAGGGACTCCGAAGGTACACTTAGAAGGGTTGAGGCGCATGCTGTACCTTCTGAGTTGGCCAAACACCTCTTCTAAATCCCGTAAATGTTCTCCATAGAATGGCTCCGAATGACCATGTCGTCGACGTAAACATCCATGCATCGACCTATANTATCTTGGCGATCGGGTGATCGGTACGGACTACCACTTGGTGGCTCTGAAAATAAGGTCGGAGTCGACGTGAAGCTGTGAGTAGAGCTAATGCGATTTTCTCAATGCGAGAATATCTTTCTTCTGCCCCCTGTAGCGTACGGCTGATAAAGTATATTAACTTGAGGGACGGTGCCTCTTGTATTAGGGCAGCGCTGACAGCGGAGTGGGATGCTGCGATATACAGTTGTAAGTCGGACCCAGTGTCCGGTCTAGCCATAATTGGAGGACTAGTGAGAATACGCTTGACAGTATTGAATGCTGTTTCACAGTCATCATCCCAGTGTCGGGTAGTGCCCTTCTTCATGTTCTTCAGGATGGGTTTGATGTGTTCGGCTAGCTTCGGAATGAAGCGAGAGAGGGCCGTGAGCCTACCAACCAACCATTGTACCTCCCTGAGAGTTGTTGGGACGGTCATGTCGAGTACAGCTTTGCATTTATCTGGTTTGGCTTCGATGCCTTGACGAGTAAGCATGAAACCCAAAAACTTGCCTGCAGGGACTCCGAAGGTACACTTAGAAGGGTTGAGGCGCATGCTGTACCTTCTGAGTTGGCCAAACACCTCTTCTAAATCCCGTAAATGTTCTCCATAGAATGGCTCCGAATGACCATGTCGTCGACGTAAACATCCATGCATCGACCTATATGATTATGAAAAACCTTATCCATGAGGCGCTGGTAAGTTGCCCCGGCATTCTTCAAACCGAACGGCATTACTTCATAACAATAATTGGCGCGCTCGGTAATGAAAGCTGTCTTGCTTTGATCAGGTGCGTACATGGGAATTTGGTTGTAGCCCGAGTATGCGTCGAGGAAACTGAGTACAACATGGCCTGAAGCTCCATCCACCAGCCGATCAATGCTAGGCAAGGGATATGAATCCTTAGGACACGCTTTGTTGAGGTCAGTGAAGTCGACACACATTCTCCACTGACCTTTCGACTTCTTGACCATGACTACGTTCGACAACCACGTAGTGTATTTTAACTCTCTGATGAACTGAGCGTCCATCAACTTCTCTACCTCGACCTGAATGGCCCTGCGCTTCTCCTCTCCGAACCGTCTCTTCTTTTGCGCGACTGGGCGTGCCTCTCTAAAGATAGACAGTTTATGGGCCATGACCCCGGGGTGGATTCCTGGCATATCGGAGGCCGTCTAGGCGAATAAGTCTGCGTTCGCTCGAAGCAGATGTCCCAAATCTTGTTCATCTTTCAAGGCGAGGTTCGCGCCAATGTTCGTGCCTTTGGAGGTGTCCGCCGACAGTGCAAGGAGTTTGACATCGCCTTGTGGATGGAGACGCTCATCTATGTTAGTTTGGGGGTCTAAGTCGACCGCTGTTGTTTCAGCTCCCCTCGCCCTTTTGGTTGGGATAAAAGGGGTGACCTTCAGACCAGCCACATAACACTGTCGGGCCGTGCGCTGATCCGCATTTACGGTGCAAATGGTGCCATGTTCCGTGGGAAACTTCATGGCCAGGTGGGGGGTGGACACAATGGCTCCGAATGCATTCAGACAAGGTCGTCCCAACAAGGCGTTGTATGATGTATTGGCCTCGACCAACAGAAAGCAGATTCTGAGTTCCGGTGTTTCTCGACCAGTTCCAAGGCGCGTTCACAGGTCGAGGTATCCTCGGGTGTCGACTCTCTCCCCTGCGAAGCCAACAATTTGCTCGTTGAAAGGGGCAATAAGGTCCTCGGATACTGAGTCAACTACCTGCGTGATTCGTGGCGTTGCATTAGCTAATATTTGTAACTGCTTATTCTTTATTGCTGAACCGTTTATTATGGTGTCGTTCACTACACATCGACCACTGTTTGTGTCGACACAAACATATTAAATGTCGTGATGGCGATAGATGTCGCGACATTGTCGCTAACTGACGCGACATCGTCGGTTTGTGGTCTGCCAATACGTCGACATCAACAAAATGAATGTCGACCTCACAACGATTGGCCAGGAGTGTTCGATACTCCTTTGATTGTGAGAGGGGTCGACACTCTGTCGTCCGTGGTGCTCGTCGACAGTTGGTGAATTTAGGTATCCTATGTTACATCATGGATTATCAAAGGTTTAGTTAATGCACCAAAACGAGACGTAAATTTCCACGTAACAAAGATTAATGCTGTTTTGTTTTCACTTGACAATTAATAAATAACTAACTCTCACAAAATAAGGATTATCATTAATTTCAACTTATGAAGACAGAACAAACAGAAAACAATGAACGTGTCGTTGAAGAATTAACAATTTCGAATATTCTCTGGTTTTTTTACTGATATTGAAATCTTTAGTTACGTGAAAACCTTACATCCTTATCATGTTCAATCCTTTACGGAGTATTTTGCAATTTGTTTTTGAACTTGGTTAAATAAACAAACTGATACCCCTGAATCTCTTCAACAATTAGCTAAATAAAAAGCTCTTCACCTCCAACACACATTACAATGTTAGTTTTAGAAAAGTTCAGCATGAATAATTCCTTTATTCATATTCTAGTTAACACTTAAATTTCCAACAATTATTTAGATAAACTACAATAAGATACACATAAATAAGAGTTCAGTTCCTTATTTCATGGACAACCTGAAGGTGCTACCCCAATTTTCTATAATGTCGTATTTGACCCGTTTGGTGGTGTTAGTAAAATCACCGATATCAGAGAACCTTATGCTGAATTCTATTTTATAGTTTCCAACAGTGTCTGCATATTTCCTAGAAAAAAAATATAAATAAAATGCATTCGAGTTTGAACAGTAATAATTTAGAATTGTCTTTGGTCAAACTCACATTTCTTCCTATTGGTCAAAAAGTGTTGCTACCACAAAGTATGCAACACTTGTTGGAGGTGTTCCCGATTCTTCTCCCATGTCTTACTGTATACCAGTATGTCATAAAAAATACCAAGACGTTTTTTTAGATACAACCTCATAACTGAGTTCATTACGCACTGAAACATGGCTGGTGCGTTGGCCAATCCAAAAGACATGACCAAAAATTCGAAATGCCCTTGGTGAGTGTGGAATGCCGTTGTGAATATCCTTCTCCTTCATCCTTATTTGGTGGTAGCCCGCTCTAAGTTCCACCTTCAAAAAAACTTGACCCCTTGTAATTCATCTAGTAGTTCTTCTATCATGAGGATAAGAAATTTATCCAGAATAGTTGCTTTGTTCAAAGCTCGGTAATTTATGCAAAATCTCCAACTACCATCTTTTTTATTCACCAATATCACTGGCTAGAGTACGAGTTGTTGGTTGGTCTAATTATACCGATTTCTAGCATCTTTGCCACATGTTTTCCTGTCTCTTACTTCAAGAAGTGAGGATACCTATAAAGCCTCACATTGATAGGATCCACTTCAACCTTAAGGGGAATCTTATGATCATGTTTCCTTCTGGTGGGAGGTCAGTAGGCTCCTTGAACAATTCCCCATACCTCCTCAAGATATCTTCTAGTTCTAGGGATTGGTTTGGAGTTAATTGTTCCATTCCCTTTTCTCTTCTTTCCGTCTTAGTTTTTTCCAGGCTCCAAACCAGAGTTACCACCTCAATTCCTGTTTCCTTCACTAATGCTTCAGGAGTCACCATTTTCTTGCCTAGAGTAGGGTCACCCTCAATCATCACCTCCCTATCTCCTTTCCCAAAACTCATTGTTAGATTCTTCCAATTCATTTGGACTTCCCCAAGAGATGCTAGCCATGTTACCTCCAATATTAGGTCTATTCCACCTAGAAATTCTCCCTTACTTCCATCCCTTCCAACACAACTAAAACATCCCTACAACATCCACTTGTGACCTTCTTATGGCCATCTCGCAAGCACACTGTATAGGGAAAAGTTTCTTCTACCCCAAACCCAGTTCTTTTACCAGTTTGGTTGAGATAAAGTTGTGGTTGTATTAAAATAAGGCCCAAAAGCCTTAAAGCGAAGGCCCAGTCCACAAAGTCTACAAGAGATAAAATATCTCCTGATCAAAACCACTGCCTCGAGGCAGTTTGTGTCAGCAAAGAGAGATAATACGAAAACATCTTCTGGAAGCTTGGAGAGGAAGAGCACGAAGCTCTCTTGCAATGAACGTTTATGGCTACCGGAAGGCGGAAGAGAAGCAGTTCGGGAAAGACGCTCCAGGGAAGGTAAGAAACAAACTCAGGCTTTTAGAAAAGAACCCTATGTATATATAGAGTTCTGGTGAGGAAGGAAAAGAGAGCGGATTCATAAATGTCCTTAACAGAAAAATAAAACAAACCTAAACACTAAAAATATCTACAAAAACATAAACTTTAATTGGTTGGTTTCCCTTTACCTCACCATGTAATTTCATTGTGTTGGTTTCCGTCAATCCTGCAGCTGAGAATGCCGAAAATTCCATTTGTTTATGCTCTATTTACTCAACCTCTTCCCCTTCTCCTAATTCCTCGTCCTTCGTCATAATTAAAACTCTGATACTCCTTTCGGAACACCTATGACCAAGAGTATAGGGCCCTCCACAATGAAAACATCTTCCCCTCTTCCCTCCTCCGTATATACTCTAGACAAGGAAGGTTTCTTACCCCCTTATTTCTGTTATTTCCCACATTGTTACTGTCAATCTTGGACCCTCCAATGGAACTAGCTCCTTCCTTTCTTGTTGTACTAAGCTTACTTTCCGTACTCTGTCTGCTTTTGGTTCCTTTGAACAATATTTTGCCTGAAACAACCCCATATCCTCCCTGATATCTTCCAACCGATTGATTGTTCCTATTGGCTTCCCCCTGTTCATGCTTGAATCTATGGTTACCTCCTCAACGTCCCTGGCAATCTCCATCGCCCTCAGTAAATCTTTGAGGTTGTGGGGCCTAATCTGACTCCTTATATCTCCCTACAGTCCAACAAAGAAATAGCCTAGCAACTGTTCCTCTGTCAACTCAGATGCTTATGCCACTAACCTTTCAAAATCCTGAATATATTCTTGGACAATCCCTTTCTGCTTTAACGCCGCAAGTTTCTCAAACACCGTACATCTATTTTTTTCTCCCAAATCTTCTGATTAAAGATTCAGTTAGTTCTTTCAAGATGGATTCTTGTTTTATTTTTCAGAATTAGAACCAGTGGTTGACACCTCCCTCCATGGTAATGTAGGTCAATCTTAATTTTTTCCTTACTGCCACGTTTTGGATCTCAAAATATTTCTCGGCTCTGGATATCCATCCTCTGAATCAATCCCCTCAAATGTAGGCAACTCTACCCTTTTCATCCCAACTTTCTGTATTTCCCCCTTCTCTTCTTCTATTTCCTCCTCTACCTCAACCTTTCTTCCCCTTCTTTCCCCATTTACCGTTTCATGACTGCCCTCCAAATTCTTGTCAAAATTCTTGGAATTTCTTATATAATCTCATAACATTTCTTTATGTTCTTGATGGCCCTCTTTTAGTTCTTCTAACCCCCTTTCCACTATGCTGGTTCTTCCCTCCAATTTCCTTTTCCTGAATCTCACAAGTCGGACCAAATGAAAGGTTCTTGATGACAAAAAACCCAGATTACCCACTAGTTTGAATCACATAGCAAATGATTCTTTATCGCTGGAAAACACTCAACACAAGAACAACCAAGGAAGCAATTCTTTCTCCTAGGATGCAATGATCCTGTCTACTCTTATTACAGACAAAACGTGTCCCCCAAAGACACTTACTCTTATTACAGACAAAACGTGTCCCCAAATACACTTATTTACCCTTATATATTGGGTTAAAAAACAACTAACAAACCAAGCAAACTAACATCTCCCAACTGACCAACAACCTTTCTCTACGCTCTAACCGTTTATGTCCTGTTCTTTTCCCCTTTTTTTCTTAAAATAGACCATTAGAACGCTATCAGTGTCGCTGAAGAATTTATAAAAAAATATAAAAGTCTATTTCTAACAATTTCGAATATTATCTTTAGTTACGTGATAACCTTACATCCTTCTCATGTTCAATCCTTTACAGAGTATTTTGCGATTTGTTTTTGACCTTGGTTAAATAAAAAACTGATACCCCTGAATCTCTTCACCTCCAAAACACATTACAAAGTTACTTTTAGAAAAGTTCAGCATGAATAATTCCTTTATTCATATTCTAGTTAATACTTAAACTCCAACTTAAATTTCCAACAATGATTTAGATAAACTACAATAAGATACACAGAAATAAGAGTTTCAGTCCCTTATTTCATGGACAACCTGAAGGGGTCCAAGGAAGAGTTCCCATCAAGACCCTTTGCATAATAATGTGCCAAGTAATCTTTTATGGAAGTGTCTCTGTAGACAGGGGGGTTTTCTTCTGAAAGCAGTTTCTTAATTGGACCATACACCTTTGATGTGCCCTCAACTGGGTCAGATGAATTTACAAAGAAGCTTGCCACAGAAATTCTTGGACCTGTGTTCTTTGACAAGACCCGGTGATACACACTCACAAACCTGTCATTTGTAATAAGCTGCACCAGTATCAAAGAAACAAATATGACAAAAAAGTTAGAAAGATTAACATATAATTAAATACGTATTAGTCAAAGATATGATTGGATAATATATAAACTGTGCAAAAGAAGACTCAACTACTTCTGCAACTTTATTGTTTAAAAAATTATTTATCACATTAGTCTTACTAAGATAAATTATGATGAACTGAAAAAGGAAAGAATGGGTGGTTGAACAATATCATATCTTAACAAGGCCTATAGTAGTATAGTACTGCTACTACATTACTCACATGGCACTATTGGTTCAATCAAAACCAAATTTTTGAAAATATTGTTCAATTGTGAGACTCCTTTAGTAATTTCCTTAGCATCCTCTTTAAGACTTAGTGACTACAATGACTTTCCCTGCACATTTTTAAACCATTCTAACTAATCAATTGATCTATTTTTCATTGATAAATGATTGTTGTCACAGCAAAAAGTTTCATAGGTGCTACCCCAATTTTCTATAATGTCGTATTTGACCCGTTTGGTGGTGTTAGTAAAATCACCAAAATCAGAGAACCTTATGCTGAATTCTATTTTATAGTTTCCAACAGTGTCTGCATATTTCCTGGAAAAAAATAGAAATAAAATGCATTCGAGTTTGAACAGTAATAATCTAGAATTGTACCTGCAGAAGATCTCCCATGTTTACAACCAGAGCTCCATACACAGGAGGAACATCGATCCAGTGATTCTGATGAAGAACTTGAAGACCACCAAGTTGATCTTGTAGAAGTAAAGTCATGAAGTTACCGTCTGTGTGTTTGGAAGTGCCCATAGTTAATTCAGGTTCAGGGCATGGTGGATAGTAGTGACCCATGATATAGAGCCCTTCACCACAATTCATCTCTTTAAGGTAAGAAGCATCAAGTCCCAAAGCCTCTGACAATAATTCAAAGATTGTAAAACCCAAATCCCTTATTTTCTTTGAATATTCAATCAAAATATCCCTGCCAGAGAGTAATTAACTCATCAAGGATAAATAATTCCAAATAAACTCATTGCAAAAGATTAATTAACACTGAAATGTACCAACAAGTGTGACAATTGACTAGGAAATTTTATGCCAGTAACTTACAATACAAAAGCTGCAAAACCATGATCTTTAGTTTTTCTTATTTAGAGCATAGATGATATATAAGAGAGAGAATATAATTTTCATGGATTTCAGTTTTAAGAAATTGATTCTAAACCTAATTAAATTTTACAAATTGTAAAATAAAGTTCTTATTCACTTTTTTGCTAAAATCTGCGATGATATTTTTAATATATTTCCTTTGAATCGGGACATATTCATTTGAAACGTAGGATTAATATTAATAATGATTCAATAACTTCTCAGCATATGTTATTATAAGTCCAATAAACAAAAGTATATTTTGAATGATTCTCGTATAATTATAAGAAGTAAATTTTAAATCTAATTTAGTCTTATAAAATTAGTGTGTAAAAAATCCGCATATTTACACAAAATCTGTATAGATCTCTATCATACACTTCCATCCAATCATAATTTATCATACAGTTAGTTAATCAAAATCCTCATAGTTTACGAAAATGAAAATCTCACCTGCTTACAGATGGTAGTTCTTCAGGCTTAGCTGGAACAGGAGCAACAGCAAAACCAAAAGTATCTCTCCAATTAGCATATTGATCACTGTACAAGCTAAGGTTGGAATAATACAAAACTTTTTTCTTCACATCCCTACAATAGAACCCTTTTCTTACCTCGGCGTCTTGTTCATGAAATCTACGAATTCCATCAATCATCTCATCCAAGACACTGATAGGAATTCCATGATTAATCACCTTGAAAAATCCCCACTCATGGCATGCCCTTCGAATTTTCTCAATCACTTCTGCATGCAGAGTTGAGTTTCTGTCTTTGAGATCTATAATGGGAACTCTCAAGTTTGAATCAGTGGCTGGGATTTCAATATCCAAGTTCACAGAATGGAACATGCGAGGGATCTTTGTAACTCCATGCTCTACAAGACCTTTAACTCCAGCTTTTGAATCATCAAACCCTTTCACTTCAGCTTTTCTATCATATGCAGAATCGACTATTTTCTCCAACTGGTTTGAGTTTTCGATCACCATATCCTGAGAGAACAACTACCAGAACAGCGTTTTCTACCTCAAACACAAGTTGCAGAACTGAGAAAAGTATGATTATATAACTAAATCCAAATGGCAGTTGTTTCAGGAGGTTGAGATTCCTAACCCAAAGCATTCAAAGTTGTTCGCTATCCTTCAGGTTGTGTTATTCTCTCTCTTCCTCTTGTCTTAGTGCAGGGAGAGTGACTGCAAAAGATACACAAATAAGTGACTTTGCCGGATCATCTTATAATAAAGATTAATAATTAGAATTAATTACCTGTCTTTTTCGTAAGATATATATTTATAGATATTATAATGAACTTACCATTAGGTTTGCTTCATTAATCACCAATAAATGACTATTATTCTCCTTAACTACCATTAATTGCTATTATTATCCATATTAATTACCAATTAATGATTGTTCTGGATCGGTAGGTTACTTGCTGGATGGTCGACCGCTCGGTTCTTGGTTGACCGAGTGGTAATACAGTACACAAACCCCCTAAGTTCGAGCACGATATAATGTGCAAAGGGGTTTTAGGTAGTATGCTTTCGATGCGAATTAATTTTACCTTCGACACGTGTCTTTGTGTGTTGTTGTACGTTTGACAAAGATTCTGAACCTCTTTGACCACTCGTTGCAAGTAAGGCAGGAGTTGAAAAAGTTCATTGACCACTTTTAAATGGCTGGACAGGAGTTGAAAAACATTCTCTGTCAGCTGGTTGAAGGTAAGTCAGGAGTTGAAAAACGTTCCTTAACCACCTATGAAGGGCTCAACAGGAGTTGAAAAACGTTCCTAGCCGACTAGTTAAAGGTAGTCAGGAGTTGAAAAATGTTTCCTGACCACCTGTGGAGTTGAAAAATGTTTGCTGACCACTTGTGAAGGGCTCGACAGAAGTTGAAAAACGTTCCCTATCGGTGGTGGGGATCAAACAAGAAGGATCCTGGCCCCCAACTAAGAACCCATCAGAATCACCATAGCCACCGAGAATCTAGAAACAGGGATAGAAATAACCCGAAATCGGCATCTGGAATTACGATCTTGGTTCAAATTCGGGCACTTAGCCATTGAATTTGAAGATGTAGTTCCTCATTTCTTGGGTGTCTTTTTCTGAGTTGTCATGGATTTTCTTTAGGTGGCACCTGCACCATTCCTCTCAATTTCGTTTTTTGTTTTTCCTTTTCCCTCCCTCTGTGTGATGTTGTGGTATATGAGATTGATGAGGCTCCTTTCCTTTCTGTATGGGGCTGATACTCATCTCCCTATTCCACCTTCTGCTCACTCCTTTCTGCTTCAAGAAGAAGCTGTGACATTTTAATTATATTGAGATTTTGGAGAGCCTACAATTATAGAATTCACAGTTGCCAACCTAAGTATGAAGTTAAATTTTTGTTCTATTTTTTGTGCTGTGAGTACAGATTTTTTCGCATTCTTTTCTAGTGTTGCAATTCCCATAGTTTCAATAAGAACATAAAATGAATAAAATTATAACTCAAAGTATCACTTCTAAAATAATTTAGTCGAGTCTTCTTTACCCAACTCATTTTTGCTGGAATAACTAAATTACTAAATTATTCAACAAAGAATAATAAAATAAAATTAGGATGATTATATAGAAAATAATTATCAAAACATATGTATGATCGAGTAACGTTGAGAGTGCTCGTTAATGCCAAAGCTGGTTGACATTGGTGGTGAAACTCTCCATCGTCGTCACTGATCAGGATCACCATACATATGTAGCTTAAATTTCAATGGATATTATTTTACTTGAAAGTTCCAGGTATTTATCTAGCGATGTAGAGACCGAGCACGTGTCTGGTTCCTCGTGGCTATATGGGGATGTCGCTCGGTCCCATGGTGGGCACCAAAATGTTTCGGTAGGGTTGAGATCCCTAATCCAAAGCATTCAAAGTTGTCCGCTCCATCCTCTAGGTTGCGCTATTCTCTCTCTTCTCCTTGTCCTAGCCACGGGGGAGGGTGTCGACAAAAGATACTTCGACACTTAAATAAGTGACTTTGCGTAATAATCTTGTAATAAAGATTAATAATTAGAGTTAATTTTCTACCTTTTTCGTAAGACATATATCTATAAATATTATAATGAGCTTACCATTATTAGGTTTGACTCATTAATCACTAATAAATGACTATTATTCTCCTTAACTATCCATTAATTGCTATTATTACCCAAATTAATTACCAATTAATGACTATTCTGGACCGATAGTTTGCTTATTGCATGGTCGATCGCTCAGTCCTTGGCTGACTAAGTGTTCATACACTACAGCAGTCAACAAGGGAAAAAATCATATACAATAGTTTGTCAAAAACTTCACCATAATCACATGTAAAAAGGAAGAATAAAAACAAAAATCATCTTTTCATAGACTTTAGACACAAGTTAAAATCAATAATTTAAAGAAATTATTTAAAAATGAATATCAACTCAATTTCACTAATATATAAAACTTTTTTCAACTTTTATGTTTTAAGAGTCACTAGTGCAGTAAAGGGAAATGACACCGCTAATTTTCGTTTATATGCAGCGGTTCATGAACCGAAGCATATAAAGGGCATACGCACCAACGCAGGACTTCCGATTCACCAAGATCGAACCCACGCACCATTGTAGGACTTTTCGATTCACCAAAATCGGGCCCACGCACCAACAAGGACTTTCCTGTTCACCAAAACAGGGCCTACGCACCAACGTAGGACTTCCTCGCTTCATCTGCCATTGAGGACGTAAGAACACATAGGATTCATATTCATCTACTAGCATGGTTTATCAAACAACCCTTATGGAAAATAACAACTCAACCAACTTATGTTCCACTCGACACATAATCCAATTAACTTTGCAATTACACCGTGCAAGAACAACATTAAGGATCATGTCTTTAACCATTACAACTCACCATATATTTGTTCCTACAACCAACACACATCATGGTACATAAGGTCACTACATTGCAATCATCAGTAATTCTCGAGAACATTTCAAAAACGCACACCAATTATTTAACACCACTATGCATTTGGAAAATATCACAACATCATAGAAAAAAAAATATTGAGTTCCTATAAAACATCATAGCACCATATAAAAATATTGCAACTTCATATTCAATCATCAAAGCATCATATAAAATACTACAACTTCTTATACAATACTAGGACAACATATAAAATATACTACGACTTCATACACAATACCAATTTACAAATGTCATGCAATTCAATAACCCAACGTGAAAACAACAATCCCAAAACCTAAAACCTCTATAATCGACCGTACACGCGCACCAACGCGAACCCCAAAACCACAAAATCATCATGCACGTGATATTAATTCCATCGTAAAACACAACACCAATAAACAAAAAAAGCTAAATACAAATGATGATATATAGTTCTCCTTTCATCACAATAACCAAATTAAATCATACAATGCACACAAAGATAGCTCCCTTACATCACCACAAACAAATCAACTCATACAGAACAAAACCACAATATAATCATATCTAACACAACCATAGAGATACCTAACAAAAACTAGACGAGCTCATTCCCCAATGCCCCAAAATAGAAAATTGTGCTTTGATACCAAATGCAACATCCCAATTTTTGGGATGTTCCCGGTTACGAGTAAAATTTATAATTTTTAAAATCATAATATCACTGCGAAAATCCACTTATATAATACCGAAATTAGTAAAATAAACACGAAATAAAATAAACCTGATTACATTGTTTTTAACACTTATAGTACAAAAATTTTAAATAACACAAGTATTTTTCCGATTCTTATGTGTCTATCATGCATTTAGAGCATCTGCAACATCTGGTCCCGTATG